TCTCCGAGTTGGATTTGGCTTGACTGCAGTGGGCTTTGTTTGCTTTGACACCAGTGTTGTTGTTATGTGCTGCCCAGTGGGTACTAACCTCGCTGACCCTCCAGCTGGTTTTCAGAAGCTGTAAATTGCATGGGAGGTGATTGCTCATCCTTAACCCACAGAGCACCTGGTGGACTCGATCTGCATGCCCTTGGCTTGGCAGTGCACCCTCTTACCATTAGGCCACCAGAATTCCTGTTTAGTGCCATTAAGGAAGAAGAAATACTATCAGACAAACCACCTTGACTTCAGGTCTAAGGATGCACAGAAACTCAGTGTTCAGAGGAGGTGGGATGAAAGGTGCTTCTTAGAAATCTACGGGACACAGCGTCTGTGCCCTTTGCTCTTTCAGCCTCCGAATCCCATTCAGCCTTCATTATTGGAGTCTGGGAGTGAAGCAGGCAGAAGAATAAACAGAGCAGCATGTGCAGCAGGCTGTGGGTGTTTGGAAGGTGCAGTCTCAGACTTGTCCTCACATGCAGTAGCTCCCTACCCCTCCTGGGGCTACGACTTACAGATGTGCACAGATGTGCTGCTGGGGCGCCTCCTCTCAGTGAGAAGCACCCTCCCACATGGCTTTTGAGTATCCTCATCTCTCCTGTGTTCAGTGCCGGGACTCTCCTTTGGTCCAAATTTTGTTGCTTTAGAATTCCCAGGTTCTTGACAGCACCAGCAGAACTAATTTCATAACACTTTGCAGATCCTTCCTCCTACCCTCTCCCTCCCCTCCTTCTCCACCCCCCCCCCCCTCCTTCACCCCCTCCCCTCCCTCCCCTCCCTTCCTTCCCTCTCTTCTTCTCCCCTCCCCTCCTCTCCCCTTGCCTTCCCTTCCCTTTTTTAATTCTACCATTAAAACCAAACAAAACAAACTGAATGCTTGTAGCAAGTGTTGGTGACTTTTTCCAACAGCCTGTGCTTTCTTCATGTCTAGGTAACATTTTGGTCATGCTCACCAATTTTTTTCATGCTGCTATTTTACATGTACCATAGACTACTGTGTATAGTATCAGTGTAACTTTTTCTGTGTATTGGGAAACCAAAAAAATCAGTGTGACTCACTTTATTGAAATATTTTATGGCAGTGGTCTGGAACTGAATCTCAATGTCTCCGGTTTCTGCCTGTATTATTATTATGATAATACTTTGTATTATTCTCAAGAATGGTGATAACACAGTCTGGAAACTGTCGAACAGTCACATTCAAAAATGGCTAAAACAAGTACATAGATAGGGAACTGCCAGAAGTTCAGGCAGGATTTAGAAGAGGCCATGGTACTGGGGGTATCATTGCTGATGTCAAATGGATCCTGGCTGAAAGTAAAGACCAGAAGAAGTCTGTCTGTGCTTTATTGACTATGCAAAGGCATTTGACTGTGTGGATCATGACAAGTTATAGCTGACATTGAAAAGAATGGGAATCCCAGAACATTTAATTGGGCTCATGTAGAGCCTATACTTAGACCAGGAGGCTGTTGTGTGTGAACAGAGCAGGGGAAAACTGCATGGTTTAAAATTGAGAAGGGAGTCTGACAGGGTTGTAGTCTCTCTCCATCCCTGTTTAATCTGTATGCTGGGCAAATTACTCAAGAAGCTGGACTCTGTGAAGAGAATTGTGTGGCATCAGGACTGGAGGGAGACCCATCAATAACCTGTATTATGCAGATGACACAACCTTGCTTGCTGAAAGTGAGGAGGACTTGAAGTGCTTGTTGCAGAAGATCAAGGAGTGCATCCTTTGGTAAGGATTGCATCTCAATGTCAAAAAAACAAAGATTCTTACCACTGGGCCTATAGGCAGAGTCATGGATGGAGAAGAGATTGAAACTGTCAGCAGCTTCATCTTGCTCAGATCCACAATTAACACCCTTGCTACCAGCAGTCAGGAAATAAAGAGATGCATTGCACTGGGAAAATCTGCAGTTACAGACCTTTCCAAATTATTGAGGCGTAATGATGTCAGTTTGAGGACTAAGGTGCATCTGATTAAGGCCATTGGCTTTCCAGTCACTTACTCTGCATCTGAGAGCTGGACAGTGAACAGGGATGACAGGAGAAGAATTGAAGCCTTTGAGCTGTGATGTCAGAGAAGAGTACTGAACAACGCATGGATGGCAAGAAGAACAAACAAATGTATCTTGGAGAGGGTGCAACTGGAGTGCTCTTTGGAGGCAAGAATGATGATTCTTCACCTTATATACTTTGGGCATGTTGCTTGGAGGGGCTGTTCCTTGGAGGAGAACATGATGCTGGGAAAGGTGGAGAATCAGTGAAGGAGAGGAAGACATGGCGACTGCTTTAGTGGGCTCTTGTGTGTTAGGAAGTGTGAAGATGGCATAGGATAGAACAAGGTCCAGAGTTTTTGGTCATAGGGTCGCTATGAGTCATACTCGACTCAGCGGCATCTAACAACAATTATGATTTGAGTAGAAGTTTACAGAGAAAGTTGGTTTTCCATCCAGCCTTTCATACACATTTGTTTTGTCATCAGTCACCGTTCCTGCATCACTTCCCTCATGTGATTCCCACTTCCATTCATCCATCTGTCCTCTCTCCCTCCCTTCCTTCTGAGCTTTCTCCAGGGGCCAGTGCTGCTTCACAGTTAATAGTTCTAAGGAGTGGGTACCCCTGGTGTCACTGTCACCTTGTAATTCCTCCATTAATTTTATAAAGTGCAGACTTAAGGCTGACTTCGGCCAAAGCCTGCGCCCCATGTGTAACTTTTCATGATGCTTACACAGGCTGCCTTTTGTGATTGAAGACTTTGAGCCTGAATGCATTTCATTCATCAAGACAGAAGCATGGGCTGTGTCCACAGTCAGTTTGGGGTTGAAGTTCCTTCTCATACACTTTAGTTTGACGTGAGAAGTGGGCTGGCACAGGCAGCCATTCTCCACCTTCCCTTTGGTGCATGTGGGCCATGATTAGCCATGAATTAAGTTTGTAAGAAAAGGTGGTTTTTTAGTGAAACATCAGTAACTGACTTACCATTATACCCCAACAAAAGAAAAGATTCAAGATTGCCCTAGATGAGGAAGGCATTTTCTGGGTGGTTGAAGGAGCACTGGGGGGTGTGGGCTGCTTCCTGAAACCTTGCCCACCAGCCACTCCAGTGGAGAAAGAAGAGGCGAGCTGTGTTAAGGTCACAGCCTTGAAAACCACGGAGGGTGGACATGATCTGAAGTAGACTTGAAGGCAGTGGGCTTCAGTCCCTCTCAGGTAATCCTTCCAGGTAATAAATGTGTACGCTCCACACAGAGGCTAACCCTTCCTGTAGAGGACCCTGATGACCACTAAGAGAACCCACTGCAGATTCTTCGTGTGTGTGTTTAGAGCAGCCCTTTAAAACACATAAAACTCGTTTTTATCGACCCTTGACCGCAGTTATAGAAATGCCAGGCTGTGGCTCTGGCTCTGACTCTGGCTCTGGCTGGCTGCCTTGGCGTCTCTTGTGACCAGGGCTCTTCAGAGAAGTAGCTGGTACTGTTGCTGCTTGTAATGCCAGAAAGTTGGAGAAGAGGAAAAAGGGTGGGACCGTGTCAGAAGAACCCAGTAGTTAGTTTGAAAGAGCTTTTGGTAGCTACACCTGGAACAGAATACCACATCTTTTTCCTATAGAGCAGAACAGTTGGTGGGTTTGAAGTTGCAATGCTTTGTGAGCAGCTAAGCACTTAATCACTGGACCACCAAGCACCGTTCTGTAAAGAGTCCAGTCTGGAAAACCATACGTAGCAGTCCCGTCACGTGGGGTCACTGCAAACCAGTATCAACATAACAGTAGGAATAAATCCCTCCTTGGCTGTGAGGCCATACTCATAGCAAGGCCTGGATGTCTGGGGGTGAGAAGGAGGAGCACATCTTCCTCACAGGAGAGTTCTAGTTAATAGATGTGGAATGAAGGAGAGCATGAGAAATCCCAGCAATACTTGCTGCAGGGAAGACCCAGTAGTGGATGCGGCAGTGGGCAGAGCGTGAGGAAGAAACAGAACACTGGCATAGCCTTAGAGAGTGTCTGGAGTGTGTTCTGAGAACTCGCAGCTGTGCTGGAGGAGCGGGTGCTGCCCCGGAGGGGCTGGAGGCTGGCATCCTTGCACACGCAGACCACCTCCTGGTCTTTCTCCTAAGGAGCTGATGGTGGGCGTGAACCTTCAGTACTGTGGTTGGCAGTCAGACACTTTAACCCCGGCCCCACCAGGGCACCTTCGGACTTCTGAAGACAACGCACCCTGCTTGCTGTTAAGTGACTCATAGCTGACTGTTAGGTTTCGAAGACTAAGTTGTACAGGAGAGTGCCCATCCTTCTTCAGAACTGTTGGTGCATTTGAATCGGCACAGAGGTCTCGATTTAGTGGCACAGTTCCCTGTGAACTGCACCACCAAGGCCTCCCTATTAATAATAAAATGCAATAATATAGAAAAGTTTTTCAACGAGGGAAAGGTTTTCCACTTATGTCAGGGCCCGACTGGGATGGAGGGGTCTTCAGAAGGTACTGCTCCTAAGTCAGGGCTGCCTGTGCCCTTCAGCAGTGTCAGCACTGCAGTGCACGAGGGAGGGACGGCGCTGTCACCATGGGGGGAAGTCTGAGGGCTGTGTGAGGCCTGCTCGCGTCTTGGAGCCTTCGTGGAGGTCTGCATCCAGTCCTGTATGTGGGGAGTGACACTGAGTGTTGCAGTCTCAGTTTGGGGCAGGTTTTTTGTGGCAGTGTGGGTGGGACCATTAGTGGGAACGCCTCAGGGGTCTGTGGGATCTGTGCACTATCCCAGCGATTCCTCTGCAAACCCAGGATGCGTTCACATAAAGTGTTACGGCCAACTGGCTCTCCAGCCTGGTGTGATCTTCGGCTTTACTGTGGGCACCACTCTGAGCGTCGGACCTGTTTCTATCCGGGAGAATGTACTGGTTCTCTAGTTAAGATTGACTCAGGGGTGCACCTGCTTCTAATACTCTTTATCTCTCGTTTCAGGGGAGGCGCCTGCTGCAGAGGTTTCCCTGTCCTTCGTGATTCTGTCCTTGTGCAGTTTAATGCTCCTCATTGTGTTAATTGCGAACTGCGTCTCCTGCTGCAAGGAACCAGAAATAGACTTTAAGGTGAGCACAGATGGCGGTCGGTGAGCCCTGTCTCCAGATGTTAATCAGCAGGGTGACTTGCAGCTGCAGTATCTCAGGAGCAAGGTGGGCACACTCTTTCTGAGGGGCCAGGTGCTCGGTATCTTCAGCTGTAGGAGAGCTTGTGGGCCGTACTCAGGCTCAGGCCTCTGGTCCAGCTTTACAGCAGCTGTGGACAGTATAGAAGCACATGGCCATAACTGTGTGCCAGTAAAGCTTCATGTGCACAAGTTAGCAGGAGAGGACCTGCAGCTGCGATCTGGGCCTGCTTTCAGAGTCAGTGGCCGAGTAACCATTTAAATGTTGAGCTGCTAAAGGAAAGGTCAGAGGTTTGAATCCAGCAGATGCTCCTGAGAGAATGATAAGAAGGCTGCCCGCCTCCTGAGAGATTACAGCCTGGGAGTGACCCCACCCTGGCTTATGGGGCTCCTGGGAGGAGGACTGGACAGTGTGGGCAAGGTCTTTGGTTTTGTGGTTTTGCTCAATGAGGAAGGAAGCGTGTTACAGGACTTGTGGGGCCCCTATAGAAGGAAGGTCCGGTTATAATAGTTTTGTAGATGAGTGTATTTATGGTTCATATGGTTGGAGAGTCACAGGGATTCCCTGTGTATCTGTAGTTCTCCCTGAAACCCCGAGTTCCCGAGGGTAGAGTCGCACCGGCTGTGGTGATGTCCTGGCCCGGGGAGGCAGAGCTGGAACGAGGCTGGGCAGCAGCTGATGACGGGGATCTGCCAGGAAACCAGTTGGAAACCCCAAACTAACGTTTACTGTGCCTGGCACATAATGGGGCTCAGTCAAGTACACGGGGAAAAAGAAATACTGATGCAAAACGGGGAGGAAAGGGCTCTTCATGGTCTGAAGTGACCCAAGGGTCCTGAGGGCACTGGACCAGATCAGGGGGAAATCCTGTTAACAACCATTGGCTTGGTGTGTATTTCACACGTGTGAAGGAAAGCTGCCTTCTGGCCAGACCTCCTTTTTGCTGGACATGGGAGTCATTTTGCTTTGTAATATTGCACTTTACAGATACAATGTTCTTTTACCAACAAAGATCTGTGGCATCCCTGCACTGAACAAGTCTGTCGGTGCCACTTTTCCAACAGCCGTGTTCATTTGTTGTCTCTTGGGTCATATTTTAGTCCTTTGCAGAATATCTCAAACTTTTTATCACGCTATTTCACGTTGCATAGACTGCATTATGTGTCGTAAACATAACTTCTGTAAACAGCCGGAAATAAAACTCAGATCTGAAACTCGCTTTATCGCATAGGATACTTGCCTTTCTGCAGGGTCTGAAACAGTCTGTCGAGTCTGCGGTGTGTCTGTGCCCCTTGATTGTCTTTGCAGTAGAACCCTGCCTGTTTGGGGACAAAAGAGTCTGATTCACAATGGCTCTGAATCTAGTTTCTGTCTCATGTTTCATGATGCCTCATTCTTGCCTCTGATTGTTCTAACTGAATTGAAGCAACATTGAAGCAGGAGTTTATTGTGATGCAGATTAAGGTTGGACCCAGGAATGTTTATGTTTATCAAGCTACTCCACATGATTCTTATGCCTGTGGCCCAGGTAGGTGCATGGCCAAGTAGGAGTTCCCTTGGAATTTGTTGGGTTCCTTTTTGGAGTTAGAACTCTGCTGTTTCAGAGCTGAATGGCCCCTTCCAGGTCCCATCTCAGCACATGGCTAAGTGGCCTTAGGATCACCTGTATCTTGTGGTTATTTAAGCAAGAAAACACTAGTGTGGCCATCAGGATGTGCCCAGCTCGCTGGAGTGATGCTGGAAGAGGCGGGTAGCTGTCACTGGAACCGTCCCTTTAAAGACTTCCAAAGCCTTAGTGATGCATCCTCAGCTTTCACATTGACACTTTGAGAGAAAGCACCAGTTTTTAGCATGTCTTTTATGCCCAAGGGCTCCAGCTTCATACTGGCCTTCACAGCTCCAGGCCTGGTCCTTTTTCTACCTGGCTAAGTCATTTCTCCGTTGTTAGCCTTTCCAGAGAAATCCTCTGGAGTCAGTCATCTCTCCACTGTTGTTATTTTGCTAGAAGGAGCCCTGGTGGCACAATAGATTCAGAATTGGCTGTGCTAATTGCATGGACAGCAGTTTGAATCTCTGCAGGGGAAAGATGTGGCACGATCACAGCCACCTTGGAGACACTATAGGGAGTTTTATGGTGCCCTGAAGGGTCACTATGAGTTGGAATTGACTTAGTTTTGCAGATATTGTGATGGAAATGACATTGCAGCCAGCCATGCATATACAATTAAGTTTGTTCCGATTTTAAGCGTGCAGAAAGATTTATGAAGGAGAGGGAACTCCAAAATGGATTACCAGCTCTAGTTATTTTTAAGTAATTCGGATTCCTAGCTCTTATAGCCTAGTGGCAAGAAGTTGCACTGTATTCCTGAAGGCACAGTTCGAATCTACCAGCTGCTCTGTGGGAGAAGGATGGACAGATTCCTCCCACGTGATTAACTGAGAACCTATGGGAGGGTGAGCTATGGGTCGGTTCCGACGCCGTGGTACACAACAACAGCAATAACAAACAGGAGTATTTCTATTTTTGTTACATGCCATGGTCATTTAAAAAATACTGCATTTATCATCAAACTCAGTTTTAACAGTTAGTGAAATGCATAGAATTTCTTTTCTTATCTTCCTTATTCTACTTTTGGGCTGAGAGAACACAGTCCAGTGAGTTTATTACTTGAGATAAACTTGAACTGGGGAGAAAAAGAAATTGACAGCAGTACATTTCAGGTGAGAGAATGAGTGCTACCAGTGTTTCTTTTTTTTTTTTTTTAAATTTTT